CGCCCGCCACCCGCGGCCCACCCAGGACGGCGCCTCCAGGACCCGGGCGACGACAGGGTGGGGCCCACTCACCAGCGGGCCGCAGCTCTTGCCCTCGAATCGGGGGTGCAGCGTGAAGGGAACCCCGTCCATGGCTGCAGACAGGCCGGGCGGGGTGAGTCCGCGCTGCCCGCCCCACCGCACCCCGCCCGCGTCCAGACCCGGGCAGCATGGCCGTGCGCGGCCCCGGGTCTCACCCCCAGCACCGCAAGAAGGGAAACCCTCTGCTGGGGTAAGAGGGGGGGCCGGGCCTGGCCGCGCCCCTGCCTCGGTTTCCCCCGCGCTCACCGGAGATGCCGTAGAGACTGGAGGCCTCGTAGAGGGAGTCGCTCCTCCGCAGCGTGGACGCCCGCGAGCCCAGGCGCGACAGTGTCCGCTCGGGGCCGCTGCTCTTGCTGGTGGACAAGGACAGTGACCTCCCGGTGGCCGCGTGCCAGGCCCTCCCCACCCGGGCCCACCGGCTCACCTGGGCTGGCCGGCCGCGTCCAGGCAGAGGCCGCGCACGTCCCTGCTCAGGCCTCTGGGCTTGGGCACCGGCCTCGGGGCTTTGGCCTTCCTGCACCAGATGGCAAAGCCACCCATGTCCCTGCGAAGGGAGCGGACCCTGGCCTTGTGCTGGGGAACCAGCGACCCCCGTGTGCAGCCGGGACAGGAGGCCCGGAGGGGAGGCCGGAGCCCGAGGCCAGGAGAGGCGGAGGAGCGGCGTCCTTACCCGACTCGCAGGTACCCGGGCACTGTCTTGGTCTTCCCGCTGAGTCGGACATCAAACACGGCCATGTCTGCGGCGCCCAGGGGCACCAGCTTCACACATATGCGCTTCTTCTTGGACACAGGGGCCTCTGGAGCGGGGGCAGGGGTGACACAGGGAGGCAGGGCGGGGTAAGGGCCCCCCGGATGGCTTGGGAGGGGGCACCCGAGAGCAACGGGACGAGGTCCAGCCAGAGGGCGAAGCTCGGAGGAGCTGCGCTGGAACGGCGATCTCGGGAATGTGAAGGAACGGTACGGGGGGGGTGGGGGGGTGTCTGCGGCATCACCCTGGCCCCCGACTCTCTTTCCCCGTTCTCTACCCCACGGGCAGCAGGCCGCCGCTCCTGAGCCACTTCCCGCCTGTTTTACACAGCCAGGGAGGGAACGACGGCTTGCACAGCTTTTAAAGAGCTTTAAAAGCTGGGCATCAAAGTGCACATCTGTACTCCCGGCACACTGGGAGGCTGAGGCAGGCGAATCGAAAGTTGGAGCCCAGCCTGGGCCTGAGTAACTTAGTAACTTAGGGAGACCTTGTCTCAAAATAAAAAATACTAAAGAGGGCTGGGGGTGCAGCTCAGGGTGAAGACCATGGGTTCAACCCCCAGCACCGAAAAAAAATGCAAAAATGCAAGCAGAGACAATAACACGCCGGCCGGACTTGGGGGCGCACTCAGGAGGAGGCTGAGGCAGGAGGCCCGCTGAGCTGCACAGTGAGACCCTGTCTCAAAAAGCAAACGAACAAACGCGAGGATTGTAACGCGCACCGAAGCCACCCGGCTGGCACAGCCTACATCTGGCCGTCGGTCCGCCAAGCCCAGCGTCGAGGAAAACCCCGAGAACCAGGCAGGGGCACAAGGAGCGGCAGGAGGCCCGGCGGGACCCGCGCCGGGGAGGGGGCGCCGCAGGGGACCCGCCCGCCC